CACGTAGAGGCCACCACTTTGCCCACGGATGTGGCCAAGGCACGGAGAAGTATCGATTGCCGCTTTAAACGGAAGGGATTTGTTTCCCCGCTTGATTCGGTGTCTTTTTCGGGGGGGGGTTGGGGTTTGGGGGTTTTGGGGGTTTGGGGTTTTGGGGTTTTGGGGGGATCCCCAAAATGGTGGTGTCCTTTTGATTTCCCTGTAAAGCAGCTCCTTTTGATTTCCCTGTAAAGCAACTCCAAGGGGAAGAGACACCCATTCTTCACATTGGATGAATGGGTCGCACCTAAACCCCTGAATTTCGGCAGGTTTCGAAGTCCCAGGTTGTTTGCCAAAGTCTGGCTGCTTGGGGTTTTCAGGGGCATGGCCAATCCCCGTGGCAGCGCCAAAGAAAAGCCCGTTGAGACCCTTGTGTCGTTTTCCCGCCGAGAAAGCGGTGAGAGTACACCACTGATTGAGCTGCTCACACCGAAAAGGAACTGACGGCAAGCAGTGACTGGAGTTCCATTCGTTTCTGTCACGCGTGTGTGCACTTTGCCGTTGTGCAACTTTTCTCAATCTCGAAGAAACCTCTTTCAGAATATGTTCCGACGAGAAATCCTTGTTTTTTGGTGGGTGGTTGGCCAACTTCCCATAGAAGCTCCTTGTTTGCCGGTTTCTATGTCAGAGCAGCCCCATAAATGCAGACGCCAGGTGCGTCTGCAGATTCAGAGCAGCTCTGTGGGCGAGCTGAGGCAAGCTGCTGTCTGAAAGTAGATGGCCAAACCAAACACGTATTCCTTGGCGGCGGTTTTCCCAGCCGTCCCGCTAGGTTTTTAGGATTTTAGTTGGTTCAGTGGGGGTGTCCAACCCGCTAAAAGTTAAACTGTTGGTACGGGATCTGGGGACATCCCAGTTTTGTTTTGTCTTCTGGCCTTTGAAGAATTGTGCCATCTTTGTTCACAGTATCACCAGCATCGACCCCAGCAATTACGCACAGCTCGTTTCAATGTGACCACATGTCGGTGACAGCCGCAGACCATGTCTGGGCCAAGTCAAGCTGCCAAGTCAAGGACAAGGCATTGCTTCGGGAAACTGCTCTCCGAGGCAAAGCTTGTGGCAGCTTTGTTTTCCATGTCGGACAGATACAGTACGAACGCAACTCAAGGGTGCTCCTGACCTTGAAACAAACTGGAGGCGACAAATCGTACCCTAGATTGCACGGGTGTGATGCGGGCTGTTTTGTGGTGGAAGGGTAGAGTCAACTTAATCCAAACAGTGAGTCACAACTCATGTCCCCATAGAAGCCAGAGGTTCGTTGCTGACAAGCACTCGACAGGTATGAAACATGAACGACACACGGCACGTATGTCGATGGTCTGTCGGGATCTTGCAAGCCTTAGGCAATGTTTTTGTCATTCCGGATCTTGAATACAGCGTCTGGACAAAAATAAAGCATGTCATCGAGCGTGGCAAGGGCGCGTGCAATGCGCAAGGTACCACGGCATGGTGGACTGCATCGTGAAGGTGGGAGCTGTTTCTATGGACTATTTGTTTAGGAAAAAACTCCCACGCCCGGCGGGTGTTTCTCATGTCTCCTACCCTTGCCATTTCTGACTTGTTTCTTCAACACCAGAATCACTTCCAGTGACTATTTGGAAAGCCATATACCGGCATTGGTTGTGACATGTGGAGGGAATTTGATTGTGGCGTGTTGGTGCCAGGCAGGATTCGGGATTTGGGCATGCAAGCAAGTTGAGACAAACCCCTCACAATCCAGCTGGCCCGGCGCGGCAGGTCTCTCCCAGTGGCATGTGCAAAGCAATTGAAACCTAGTATGAGAGGCTGAACAATTACAAACATGATTTTCCTATGATCATGAGGATTTTTGGGGTAATAGTGCCCCAGGATCACACTCCAATTATTTAGTCCCTGCTAGTATGCTGTGCCCCTAGTGATGTACTTTACAGACACAATAAGTTGCTGGGCAACAAAGATGGCTAGACCCAGGAGGTATTGGTCAACCAACGAGAAAAGCGAAGAGGCTTTCAACTCGTCAGTCAATCCTGAAAGTGCTAGCTGTTGCTTTGTTCGGAAGCAAAGCCCGGTGCAGGAAGTCATGTTGAAGCACCTGGCACACAGCATTTCTTGCATAGGCAGGTGCAGTTGAGTTGGGCACATTCAAATGGGTGCAGAATCAATGTGTCCTTGTGTTTTTTTGTGTTGCCTGGCAAGAGGGCCAAAACGAAGAAATTTGGAGCGGTTCCCAACAAATCGCAACTCTGAAAGCATTTGTAAGCAAGTTGGACAAGCGTCATCCACACCACTGGCGTCACCATAACACCACTACCATCGCCATCCGGCTGCGGTCTGGAATGGTTTTAGGGCCGGATTCTGGTGGGTTGAATATGCTTCAGGGCTGGGTTCTTGGGGTCGAAGCATTGTTCAGCCCGGTACGATAGGTGGGTTTTGAGTGGGTAGCTCGGCTCAAGGGAGGGTGGTCTCAAGTTGAAGGATCTAAGGTCTAGGGTTTGAAGCTTGGTTTGGAGTGGGTTTCGGGTTCCAGGCTGGATGGGTTGGCTTGTGGGCTTCAAGGCTGGGTTTCGCTTTCGGATAGTTTCGAGTAGCTTTTGGTCCACGGGTTTGGTTGCTTTCAGGGCAGGATTTACTTGCTGGTGTTCAGCAGGGGATGAGGGAATGACCCAGGGTGTTGGAATGACAGGAAACCATAGGGGAATGGTTCTTTATAGGGGTCATTTTCTCATTCCCTGCTGAGAACCAGCAAGTTCAAATTGCTTTAGAGTTGGTTCAGGGTTGTTTAGGCTTGGATCATGGGTTGAACACGGGTTTGGGATTGGCCTTAGGACTGGTTTGGTGGGGGGGGGGGGGGGGGAGGAGGGCGGGGAGGGAGCCCAAACAAGCCCTAAATAAGGCGTTATTCAGGGCTTAATAAGGCCTTATTCAGGGCTTAACAAGGGCTTATTTGGGCTCCTTCCCCCCTCTCCTCCCTCCCCCCCAGCCCCCATGAGATTGGTTTAAAATGGGTTCAGAGTTGGACCGGAGGCTCTTTCTTTTTTTTCCGAGCCGAGGTGGCTAAAGTGGAAGGCATCCGAGCGCCGGGAGTCCCAGAAAGATGCCGCATCTCCGCTGAAGCGGCTGGTTGCGTGTCTTTTTTTGGTTTGGTACCCCTTTTCTTATGGGTTTTGAAGCGACACCAAAAGGAACACCCTCTTATTTCCGAGGTCCCCAAAAAAGACACAGCCAAGTGGCTGAAGTGTTCTGGTTGAATATTTAACGACACAGATCTTAAGATGGACATGGTCCGCAAGCCTGCAAAGTGCCGCGAAGTTCTGTCAGTAAAACTTGGCCGATTTGAAGATCCTCCGATGCCTAGGTGTCCTCTTTAGGTTGGTTTGGTTGAAAATAGATGGGTTTGACTTGCTTAGATGGGTTTTGTTCCATTGACCAGGCAAAGCCATCTACTTTTCCAAAAGGACATGTATGATCAGATGTTTCTTGAGGCACTGATTTCTTGAGGCAATGCCAGGCCCTCCATGTTGGCCACAAGGCTAAGGTCCGTCAGATGCTCAGTGGTGAGCACTTTGCATTGGGTTGAGAACAGCCACGAGCAGTCAGGCACTTCCCCAAAGTGAAGTAGCAGAAGCCAGGCCAAGTACGAGCCAACCGTTGCCAGGCCCAAGCGAATTGGCACCGGCCAAGGCTGTGGAAGGGCATCGTGCCCGCTCTGGTTCGCCAGGCGGGTCGTTTTCGCTTGGTGGCCGCTGTTTTCCCCTGGACCAGCCCAGAAAAATCCGGCGAGTTTTCGGCAGAATCTAGGGGATCCGCTTTTTTTTGGGGGGGGGTCCATACAAGAAGATCATGGCAAATGTTGAGGTCGTCACAAAGGACCAGGCTTGTGTTGAAGACGCTCAGAGGCTGTGCAACGAGCTTTTCTCCGCTAGCCCGAACCATTTCTGACCCAGGTACCCCAGATACAGTCACTCTCCTCAGGCCAACAAGCCAGATGACCCATGTTGAGGGTCGCCTGCACAAGTTGTGTTCTGAGTGTGGCCTTCAATGTTCAAACAGCATGCAGTCATGAAGATAATGCCTGACATTGTTGAGAGATGGCAACACAGCGATTGTCGAGGCCTCAATGCAGTCCTGCTTTCCTTCTCACAGCAATACTCGTGGTTGGCCAGACGTCCCAGGTGAGCTACCACTCATTCACCTTCGTCCTGTACGAGCCGATCAAGGAGACCAAAGCACTCGATGGCTGACACCTGCATGCGAGTCCCCGCTGAATCCTCTTGAGCCAACTCTGCACTGCTCGTTGACTCGTTTCTTGCTTGCCCAAAACCCAATCTTTCGACTTTCCGGTGTTGTTGTTGTGGGCCATGTTTAGTCAAGCTTCCGCAAGACTTGGCTTGGTCAAGCTGCGTTCTCAGTCATTTGCGAAAGTGAGCGTACTTACCAGGGGAAAGTCGTGGGTGTGCGAAAGCCCCAACACATGGGCAAGCAAGTGGAATTCCAAGCTCTCCAAATCAATCCCTTTTGTTTTTATCTCTTTCCATTCTCTCAGGAGACTTGGCAATCAGATGTCCAGGGATCATTCATTTTGAGTGCCAAGCTGGGAAAGCCACCATTTTCGGGGCTCCGACCTTAAAAACAACAAGACGCGCCGCCCATTTGTTTTTTTTGGACCCCCAAACCCGGGGTCCGATGCGGCAGGAGATGGTCAGCGTGCTGTTGGCCATGGAGCCGGGGAATACCAGCTACTTGCAGCTCCTCGACGGGATACTCTCGCCAGCCTTTGGCGTCCACTCCTTGGTTCTGTGTTTGTTGTGTTTGCTTGCGTGCTTGTGTTTGGTTGTTTGCTTGCTTGCGTGCTTGTGTTTGGTTGCTGTGCTTGCTTGCGTGCTTGTGTTTGGTTGTTTGGTTGTTTGCTTGCTTGCGTGCTTGTGTTTGGTTGCTTGCTTGCTTGCGTGCTTGTGTTTGGTTGCTTGCTTGCTTGCTTGCTTGCCTGCTTGCTTGCTTGCTTGCTTGCTTGCTTGCTTGCTTGCTTGCTTGCTTGCTTGCTTGCTTGCTTGCTTGCTTGCTTGCTTGCTTGCTTGCTTGCTTGCTTGTGTGTTGGTATTTGCCTGTTTGCTCGTTTGTATGTTTTTGAGATATGGTTGTTTCAGTGGTTGGTGTATTTGTTTCTTTGTTTGCATTGGCAGATCGACGGGGAGCCCCTTGCTGTTGCCACTTGTCAGGCCCCAACAAGCGGGGTCCGCATGTCCGCATGCAGCCGGCGATGCCATACAAGGTGTGTCCACATCCCGTTTGGTAGGTTAACGATGCATGTATTTTCAAGTTATAGCGATAACTTGGATTGGATGGATGCAACAGCAATGATAGATGTTTGCTGTATAAAATATCAGTCAACTGGGGGGGGACCTTGTGTCTTGCAGAGGGCTATTGACCAGTGGGTACGGGAGAAGCCTTCATTATGCGCTGTCTGTTCACTCTTGCTATGACTGGTCCCAACTTGTTGTCCCTGAATGGCAGCAGCTTAGCAGTTTTGTTTCAATAGTCATTGCACCCAGGCGGCCATGCTTTTTGAGAACGGCCGAAGTTCACTCGGCATGTTTAGTGGCGAAACATCGTTGTCCATCAAACCCTGGTCGCTGGGCTTAACTGGACACTTCCAGAGTTCTCGTTGAGCGTGACGCGCAGGGTTGGAAGTGCACGACCCGGCCCAGAATTCCACAAAGAGTGCGACTCCCCGCGATCCGGAGTTCCAAAGTGTTCTTTGGTTTCCCTACCGGGATGAGGAATAGTTTTGACAAGATGCGCAGCATGTCTTCATGTTGATTGGTGTCGGCTTCCCAGTATTTTTGGCCGACAATGCAGCAGCATATTACTGAACGTTATCAATATCGGAGAAGTGGTGACCTCTTCTCCCAGTGATGGCTAGCTGGTCCTGCGCGGATTGAAAGTAGGTTGAGGCAAAACCAAGGTTTCTGCGTCCGCATGTTGCAGCAGTCTTGCAAGCGGCACTTGTTGACAATATTCAGGGCGCTTTGAAGCGGAGTGTGAAGCTGACGGAACATCAGTCAGACGGAAGCTTTCATGAAAAGTCAGAATGTGTAAAATGGAACAAGAGTAGATTGAAACCCAGAACCAAGGAAAAACAGCGAACGTACGAGCGATTCCAAACTCAATTTCACGTAAAGCCAAAGCCTTTGCGAAGCTATTTCAGCCTTTACAGTCACCCTGATCAAAGTGATTCCCGGCGCTTTCATTCGCAACGCTTGAAATCATGCTGCGCACTCGCAGCTCAAGCGCCTGAGGCGCTTGCTGGCAGCGGGACTCTCGGCCGCCATCGCCATTGCGTTGTTCAACCCAACAGAGGCGCAAGACCTTGCGACGGTGAAATGCAGTTTTGACATGACTGAATTTGAGTGTGTTTGAAAATACGGGAACCCCAAACTGGGTTGTTTCCTTTTGGTTTCCCTTTAGAAACATAACCACACTTTGAGAGACCCCCATTTGTTGGGGCTTTGCTTCAGCCTTACCGTGGCCACTGCGCTTCTTCAACCAGCTCAAGTAATTGCCGTATTGTGGAAAGTGGCCTGGTGTGCGTAGGGCATGTCCCCCGGTGCGGTAACCTCACGCTAGAAGGCTCAAAAACGGTGGGCTGCCAGGTGGTCAAGACACAGATGCAGAGCAGCTCCGGCACAGTGACGATTCAGGAGGCGCCGTGAAGCGAACCCAAAAGACCCATCCGGTGGGGGGGAGGATCACCCATTTTGGGGGGATGGGTCTCCATTCTTTCAGCATCCGCAGCTTGAAGTACTTTGAGGATTGTAGCGTAATATGACACGTCTCAGGTGGATTTGTGTGTTGGTGAATCAATCGAAGGCAGCACCGGGCGCGCATTTTGGCATTTTGCGAGGCATGAGCGCCGTGATGATCGAATTGAAGCGGAATTAAACAATCATCCGAGTGCAGGGTTGAGAGGTGGGATGAACAACCAAAGAGCTCTCATTGATTTAGCCAACCAAGCCCTCTGGCTCATAGCAGTAAGGAGATGTCCAATCGCATCTCACAGCTTATGTTTCCGACATACACAGCGCATACCAAACACACACACACAAGCCAGCACACACACAGAGATGCACAGAACGAGAGACACACAGAGACTGCCACAAACACAGAGACACAGGCCTCAAGCATGATGTGGCTACGAGCTTTCGGCACTGTTGCATCATTCAGGGAAGACGCAGGCAGATACCATCTTTCCAACCATAGATAGCGTTCCAAAGCCCTTTCGTCAGTTGTTCTTATTGGAAGGGTTCGAAGCTCACGCCACTTCTGCAGGTGGCACGCAAAGTGGGAAGCCCGGCGATGCAGAGAGGGCTTCAGCAGAGCAAAGGTGTGAGAGAAAGAGGAAACAGCCGCCTCTTCGATTGACATGAAGAGGCCCAGTGCGTGTGTGCTTCATTCCTGCGAAGTGCTACATACGAGCAATCCTTTCTCAAAGTTTCACCAGACAGCTTGAAGCTAGTAATGAAGGACCAGGGTCATGTCGTGTTTGTGTTGCTCTTCGGTGTCGGGAATGGCAAAAGCGACGTCACGGGGATCGATGCCACAGCTGGTCACAGTATGCACAGTGGACCGGCACACTTTGTGGAATCCACGACTCAAATGTGAGGTGACTTGCCAACTGGACAATGGAGCAGCCAAGAGCACAGCAAATATGAACCAAATCGCAAGATGTTGGCCAGTCATTGGAAGATACTCTCAACTTGTGTGGGTCACATGTGTACCGAACGACTAGGTTTTGCCCTGGCAGAGTTGCTTGGCCATTGCTTCACATGAGTTGGGGCAAGCACTTCCATCGAGAATTATGAGGCTGTCATTGGCCCCTTTTGTTCTCAGTGTGGGTGTGTGTGCGTTTTGGCTGTGGTGGGAAAGGGGGGGGGGTCTTTTTGAGGGTACTTTTTGGGGTGATTTTAAAGGCAAACCAAGAGGAAGCCACACATGTCAAGGGGCCTCTACTTAAGACACAGTTTGACCTCTCATCTTCTGGCTCTTTCTTTGGGCTCGTTTCAACGGATTGGCGCGACTGCCCAAGGTGTGGAACAAGGACGGTGTCAAAGGCTTTTGGGCCGGCCTCAGACCAAACGTGGTGAGGACCCAGCACGTTTCTCCGCCTGCGCTTCGCGAGACACGCCGAAGCACAACCCCAACTTGACATCTGTGGATCCCATGAAGTCGTTCACGGCCAGCGGCATGTCCTCCCTTTTGGCATGGCGCTAGCAAGCAACCGATGTGTAGGATGAATGCTGGTGAGCGTTGGCTTTGGCTTGCGTGTTCAGGGGGTGCCTCTTGACTCTGAACGCATTTGGGTGACATGGCTTCATTGGTGGTTATTGGCGGTTTGGTGGTTAAGGAGGGGCTTCCCTTTTACCTTCTACTGCCAGTGACTTATGTAGCTGCGCCTGAAGCCTATTGACTTGTGCCGAGCTCCAAGTCCCCAAGCCACCTTTCCAGACTAGCACCTAAGGGTTTCCTGAAAGCAGAGGCAGTGAGTCTCCAAGAACCTTCCAACATACCTTTTGACCATACCCCGGATACCTTATGAAAGAAACCTTCATCATGGGAGGCTTGTGGTACGCTCAAAACGTATGTTGCCGGGTTCTGCAATGCGAGGTATCATTATACTGCACGGCGCATGGGAACTGCCAGTTCACAAGGTAGGTGGGTGTGTCTTAAACCAGGGACCCTCCATTCATTTACATCTGCAAACAGACACACAAGCCAAGCAAGAAAGGAGGTGCCAATCGTGAAGGGATTTCCTTTCATTCAAACTTTCACATTCGGGGGGGTGAATGTAGCCACCAATATTTACCTAAGGAGTTTCATCCAAATTGGGTCCTTGCCATTCTTTTGATGGGGCAAGGAACACTAGGAATATTGAACCGCGCCTTCAACAAAGCGCATTTTCCCTCTGCTCGACTCCTTTGGGGTCTGCCAAATGTCTCAACCATGTCATGTCAACTTCCCGGCTTCGTGATGTCGGGCTTGGTGCATCCAACACGGTTCGCCATGCGCTGATTTTGCCCTGATGTTGCTATTGGCAAACATAGTTGTGACTGTAGGCTGAGTTAAGGGAGGCCCAATGATCTTGGTTGTGCGATTTAGATACGCCGGTTTTACGATTGGTTTGCACCTGTTTGCTTCCAACGTTTTCTCTGTTTGAGATGTTTGACGTTCTGGCTGGATGTTTGGTTGTCCTGCTGAACGATTAGTTTGTGCCCCTGTCTACTGGGCGTGACATGCTGGTTCATGAGGAAGCAGCCATCAAGTGACCCTTGCTTCCTCGGGGAAGCAATGAGAGTGCAAGTTGTTTGTTGACACTTATGAGTTGCTAGTTTGGTATCTAAGGGAGTTTTGTATTGCTCCTCCTTCCCAACAAGTCTTTATCGGATCATCGGAGAGGCGGCTCGGACGTTGCTGATTTCAGATTTAGCGCCTCGCACATCTCTGTCAGCTAAGGTATCAGTTATTGGCATGTGCCCTAATATTTCCCTGAAGTTGACAACATGACCTTCCTCGTACCTGAGCATGTTCATAAGTGAAGGCCGGCTGCATTCTGGCAACTTTGGCTAGGCACAACTGCCTGCGACTGCTTCATATCCATTTGGTGCCACGGGCGGTTTCTCAAATCGCGTGGCAGGACCTTCCTGGTCAATGGCGCTGAGATAGGCCGAGAGGGCTTGGAGCAGGGATTATGTTGCAGATGAAAGCAGTGAATTTCCATAGGCTTCATTGATACCTTGGCCTGGGCCGCATGCAAGCTTGTATCCTGCATAGACCTACATGTTCTTCTCCTCCAGTCCAGTGTTGGGGTAGGATAGTTATACTTTGCAGTGCCCACACGGATATTATGCTCGGAGCATTGATTGCTCAGCAGGCACCTACGACGAGTCCAAGTTGGCCTTGCTGGAGACTGTTGGCGATGGACTAGCCTTGGCCTCGGCCCAGGCTGGAAATTCATGCGGCAAAACCACCTCAGCAATGGTAAAGCGATTTGACTTGTTGAAGAAGTCTTGCTGCAGGATAAAACGATGTCTTGAACAACCGTGAGTGAAAAATATCCGTGCCTCTCTCCCCCTCTCTCCCCCCCTCTCCCCCTCTCTCCCCCTCTCTCCCCCTCTCTCCCCCTCGTGTGTCTGCGTTATTCGGGGTAAGGCAGGTAATTGGTAGAATGCGTCGAACATCTTCGAGATTCGTCCAAATGAGGCCACACCAAAAAGTCCTGGAATTCGAAGCAACACCTGTCACGAGTCGTGATTCATGGTTCGTCCCACGTCAGGCAAACCGTGCATTTCAAGATGTCTGTCCATGTTGCAAAGCTGTAGCAAATATGGGGGTTATGTGTTTTCATGATGCATGATGCACTGAGGCGATTTGATGCACGTTAGAAGCCGCGTGCTAGATTTTGAAGAAAGCAAATTCAATGGTTGGTCGCTTGGTGATACATGGTGACTATTTGTTGGACAGCTGGTAGGCAGTCCGCCAAATATTCCGCGTGCACCTGCGCCAGATCGCATGAAGATGCTCGAAATATAGAAGCACGGATTTGATCCTTTTGTCCTGCCACCTCTGACTCCCTTGGGCTGTTTGCTATTTTTCGCGACCCGAGGTCGCGCACATCTCGGCGAGTTTCGTGGCGGGTCTCGCCTCCGCATGCGTGCGGGCCAAAGACTGTTCGAGGGTTTGAATTGAACCTAACAAAGCAGGCAAGTCTTGCGGTTCTTTCTGAAGCGTAGGTTGCTCATGGAACAATTTAAAAGAAAACTTGTCACGACATGTCTAGACTCCTTCGCTGATGACGAGCGCTTTCTGCTCTTTGAGTGTGACTCTTTGATTGGTCGTGCAGCATGTGTGCAGTCCTCTCTGACTTCTTCGCCATTGCACTGTGTGGTTCGTCCTTACTTTGGGTTATGTTGTTTTGTGTTTCGAGGGGATGTTGGATCCCCGTGCTAGTACTGCAAGTGAATGTTTGGGTCCTTTCCCTTGTCAATATGCGACATTCGGTGTTTGTCGAGTCCGTGGTAGAACATTTAGTTTTGGTTCTTTGGATTCAATTGGTGAGGCTTCGTTTCTCTGTTGCTTTGCCTTTCCAGGCTTGCTGGATGTGCTCTTTTTTAATTGCCTTATTTTCCCCGTCGTTGTTTTCAAACGTGTTTGTGTTGCTTTGCACAACAAAGGTCAATCAAGTGGCACATATTTGGTGTGGGTGTGTGCTTCTTTGCAATGTGTTCCCAGACTTTCGTGTGTCGTGGGAATGTGTTGGATCGTACTGCGAACACCTGTTTTGTAAATATGGTACGACGTTAAGTTGTTGTTATATTATTTGAATATGGGGTGTATGTGGCTTGTGCTTGTCATGTACATTCATGTGTTCCTACCCACAGTTTCATAGCGTCTCGCTTGGGCCCAGCTGTTCTCCGGCATCAACCCAGCGTGTGGAGGAATTGGTGCTTGTCCCTGCCTGCTTTGACACCAGAGAAAGTAATCCGAGCTGTAAATAGGGTGTGCACCCCCAGAAATGAAGGAGCTAAAACAAGACGGCCCCCCCCAAGGTCAAAAGCAACCACAGTTTCTGCTAAATCAAGCGGGATCCCAGTAATGAATCGCTGTGCAGCATCAGGTCTTTAGGAGGCATCATTCCGCATCCCAGGCCACGCAAGAACATGTGTGTTGTATTCTGTTGTTTCGGAGACGCGGAAGTTTGCAACGCCAAACACTGCGGTACTAGTTGGTGATATGGGTGATTCGAAGACTAGGGCTTGGTGGGCTTTTGCATTTGGCTATGAGTGGAATTGGCGGTTCAAATCGCAAGACCACCGATTGAGAGTAAGATGAGTAGATCACGACTGCTGTGCTGACCCACGCACACGCAACCCGATTCGATGTACCTTTAAATGCAGTTTGCACACCATGATTTCAACAGTTTTAAGCTGGACCTTTTTTTTTTTTTTTTTTTTTTTACGAGACACGACCAGTGACCACGGACATCATTTGCATTCTATTCAGCCGGAACTTGTCAATCCAAGCCTTCGGATAGTGTCGCTTCACACCAAATTGGCTCTACATTGGACACATCTCTATGGGTGAGCCTATTGGGGGAAAGCCCCAAATGAGCAGCGGTTTTTTTTTAAATGCAGGAGCCAAAAGGAGAGGGGAACTGGCATGGTAGCCGCGTAGCCTACTCCTGGGACCGCGTAGCCTCGCGTAGCCTCCGCGTAGCCACTAGCAAAGGGAGCTGTCGACAATCGTCCGCGTAGCCTCCGCCTAGATCCTTTGTCTTGAGCTCAAGGCTTAGGTTGAAAGCTTGCGTGTCTCAGAGAAAGAGGGTGAATTTGATTTGCCTTGGCCCAGCCAGAGCTGAGTTCGCTCATTCCGCGTAGCCTCAGCGTAGCCTGCGCGTAGCCTCCGCGTAGCCTCCAAGGCGTGTTCAAGGCCACTGGCCCACATGCCTCCTACTACTACTGTTACCATTACTACACTACTGCTACTACTACTACTACTGCTACTACTACTACTAGTACTACTACTGCTACTACTGCTACCACTACCACTACCACTACCACTACCACTACTACTGCTGCTACCACTACCACTACTACTACTACTGCTACTACTACCACTGCTCCTGCTACTAATACTTCTACTACTATTTCTACTAGTGCTAGTACTAGTACTAGTAGTAGTAGTAGTAGTAGAAGTAGTAGTAGTACTAGTACTAGTACTACTACTACTACTACTACTAGTACTACTAGTACTACTACTACTACTACTACTACTACTACTACTACTACTACTACTACTTCTGCTACTACGAACTTCCGGTTGCCAACGAGTATTCGCGTAGCCCCGGCGTAGCCCCCCGCGTAGCCACTTATCAACAAATATGTTCTGCGTAGCCTCCGCGTAGCCAAATTCCTAGGGGGAAAGACAGCCGCGTAGCCTCCGCGTAGGTATGTGCTTCCAGTGTATAGGCCCCACACCATTAAAAAAAACACGGCTCAAATGGTGGTGTTCTCTTGGTTTCCCTCAAACAGACAAAAGGATCCATCGCACAACAACATACCCCCTAGTCCACGTGTGGACATGCCAGCTGAGATTTCCACCCCGGCTGACGTGGTCAAGACCCGCTTCATGAACGCTGCTGGGTCTGACCAGGCGATGCTTTATCTAAGTCGGCGTGGAGGTTAGGGGGCAGATGGGAGGGGTATATGAGAGTAGTTCTTGAGCTTTCTCAGTAGGGTCTTGGAGTGCGGATCTTGCCTAACTCTTCGTTGCAGAGGTTTTCTTTACGAGGCGAGACTGGCATTTTCCTATTGAGCCCGCTCACTGGACTACCTCCCTTGCCTTGTTGCGAGGATTCACGCAGGCCAGCTAGCCACGAACTCTTGACCACTTCTAGTAGGCACACATAGGTTGATAGGTCACGTTCTTTTCTCACGATTTCTCGCATTGGCCTCATGTTTCTCACCTTGTGCTGGCCATGCATCTATTTTATCATCCTACTGCATCGATAGCTGCGCCATGTGTATGGAGCATGGCTTCGGGCAGATGCCAGCGACCTGCCATGGTTTCCTATTTTGTCTGTATCAAAACGAGGGGTTCAAATGCAAATCCTTAAAACACTAATCCGATTGGGGGCAGCCTCATAGCAAGCTTGCGTCCTATCGCGTCCCCTTCTGTACCAAAAAGCGTATGAGTCTTGACCCTGCTTGCTGCATATCTCCCGATGCAAAGGCTGCTTGCTGCGAATTTAGACGCTCTAGAGTAGGTGGTTGTTGGATGTATCCTTTCAGCCCTGTTTGCCATGTTGCTTTCATTTTCTAGTTAACATAGCTCACACAGCTTCAACCTGAGAGACATGTGGTGCAGCCACCAGCGCCTTGCTTCCTTTGCCCCCGGGCCATCAGAATCCAGTCCCTGAAGATGGCAAGATGGAGGCTTGGATTGGCGGAGCGGTAGTTTGGCTTTGGTGCATTTGCTTGGATGTTGGGACTTTAACTTTTTGCCAACTAATGGGTTTTCCATTAAACCACTAAAAGTCAAGCTTTTAGCAGGGGAGAGGAAAGCAACCGAGTTGGAAGCTGGGTTCCGCAAGGTTGGCTGTGTTAGGGTAACGTCTTGAATCCGCCAAACCGCTGACCGCTGACAAATTATTTGCCTGAACTGCCAGCAAGCGAGGACCAAGGAAATTGTTTTCACGGGCAGGGGTGACAGGCACTTGGGTGTGTCTTTTTTTAGGGGACCCCCCCCCAAACAAAAATGGTGGGTTTCCTGTTGGCCTTCCATTAAAGGCTACTAAGAAGGGGAACTCTTGCAAAAAGACACACCTATTTCAGGCAGGTGAATGATGCTATTGAGTTGCAGATCTGGTGACGGGATCCTCGCCACGTTTTATTTGCGTGTTTTTCGGGAAGATCTGGCAGGCCTACCGCGGGATCCTGCACACATGCTATCGCATCCTGCGCCCCTCAGCATGGAAAAGGGGCTCACGGGAGGGCTTGGTTGAGCCTCGGCTCGCCAAAAAGAAAATCTGAAAGGAGCCTCTACAGAAGGGACGCTAGTATTCACGCGAGGTGAACTCCATTTTCACGGGTTTTCACCTGTGGTTCTTTCCGGTTTGAGAGAGCTGCAAGAATCAGCTTCTTCAACTCGGCATGCCGAAATGCTCTGTCCGTGCTCTTGTTTAGCTGTCATGCGCTTGTTCGAGCCTCGACAAGATGGTTCTTGGTACTGATGGTTTTATGAAGCAACATGTATTTGGAATCTTTGTCCACCTTCCCTCAATATTCTCAGCGCTTGGCCCGACATGCTTCTAAGCCTCACAGTTATTGCAGCTGCTCACAGGGCATGTTGTCTGAGGCTCCAAAGGGCAGTCTAAACGTAAAAGGTGCCAACAAGCCGGAAAGAGGCTCGCATTGAGAATCGTCCGCTGTGAGACTGTAAACTCCTCAAACTGGCTGCCCTGTTTATGTGATCCTAGACGATATCAAATGAAGTTGCGCGCTTCTCTCCGCAAAGAGCCAATTGATCTAACAAAAACCGGCTGATTTAAGTCTGGCCTTCGTAGCCTCTCCGTTTTGCAAGCCAGAACCTAATTTGTAAGACCAAAGATCGTGGAAAGCGGCCTTGTCAGCTGGGAAAACACAGCTTGTTCGGTAGCACACACACACAGTTGCGACTTCGAGGACTTGTGTACTAAACTGGTACTGAACACTTACGACTTTCGAGGTAGAGCTGCCAAACTGTACCTTGTGTCTCATTGCATGTTGTGATATTCCGATTGCATGCTGCTATATTCCGATTGTTTAGGGATATTCTAGAGCTTGCACGATTGTTTGCTCGGGTGCCCAGCTGCCGTGACTTGCATTGTGCCCAGGGGATGAAGGGTTTCTGGCGCTCTACAAGGCCTGTCAGCTCCCTCGCTCTTGCTTTGTGTTTGTGCGTGTGTGTGTGTGTGTTTCGTGTTTTGTGTGTGTGTGTGTGTTTGTGTCTTTGCTTGTGTGGTTGTGTGTGCGAGTGTTTTCGAGGGCACCCTTTTCGGGGTGGCTTGAAGGGAAAGCAACAGGAAAAGGGAGGTCGCACTCTTCTGACGCATACCGTCACATCTTTGAAACATTTCTCGACCAAAGACACCTTTACAGCAACTCGTCAGCTCTCACGAGCGTGAAGGTGTCTCAGCATGAATTTCCCGTCAGAAAACACAAACAATTTCAGGGGACAACCTGAACAATTGCCTGGCGGTGCGTTTTGAGCTGGGCTCGAGCCTCAATATATTTATTCACGTTGGCTTCTTTTAGTTGTGCCGGATCCGTGTCTCAATGACTTCAAGCGATTGTTTTCTTCGCAGCGGCGTGTTGCCTGGGGCTGGCCTACTTTGTATTGATCGGTTCGATGTACTGTTCCCTTTTCTATGCGGTGTTCTTTGACCAAGCACTCCTGACTCCCGGGATAAGCTGCATGAAGGAGCCCTCAAAACAATGAGTGGCTCTTGGCTGTGTCTAAGACGGCTGCCTCTTAACCAAAGAGCGCGTGCTTTGCGCAATGAATGTTTGGCAGTTGGTGCCCCGCAGAAAAAGAGCCCAAGCACAACATCGAGTGCTTCAGCTAGAACTGAAAGGGTTTTGTGTGTGTGTGTGTGTGTCTGTGGTGTTCCCGATTTCTCCTGAACGCGACACGCGTCTGCCATGCTTGACACAGTGCCCTCTCGAATCGTGCCACGCGCAGGGTTTTGCGCTCATCGTTTGCCGGAAGCTGATTTGGCCCCGCGCTTGGCCGCAATGGAACTTATGCTTTGCTTTGATCCGCCAATTTGCATGGCCGAATTGCACTGTGTGTGCCAACACAGTAACAAGCTTACCTCAAGCAGCCTTGACGCTTCATATCTGTCCAGTCCAGCTTTTGGATCAGTGTGAAACAAGAGCCCCGCAGATAAGATCGCCGAAGCAGTGAAAGGTTTCTGTGCCGAATATAGGGCTTGCCTGTGGTGCAATGCATGTTTATTGGCCAAAACCCGAGAATGATTCTCCTTGCGAATCATGAAAAGCTCCCCTCATGACAAACAGTCCATGAGGATGCGTGAGGATTGTGACTCAGAGATTCCTCTCAGGTTGTCAAAGGACACCGACCTGGAGAATTCCCGTAGGATACTCAAATCCCCCAGGCACCTGTGAATAGGCAGGCCGAAATGTTGGCTCTCAAAAATGTTGTTTGCTAGTAAGTCGGTAGGTGTTTGTTTTTCTTTCTTAAACAAAACAAATAAAATAATAAATACATATACACATAATATATATATATATATATCAAGTGTCCCCTAGTAGACTCGAAGTGCAACCGATATGGGCTTGCAATGTAACTTTGGCGACGTCAACGTTCAATCTACTGGGCTCGCATCAAAGCTGCGAATGGCATAAACCAAGGCCGATGCTACCAATGGAATCCTTAGGAATTACAATAGGCCTGTCCCATTGGAATCGAGCACATTGGGACGTTTGGGTGGGAACATGGAACACGTCTCCCGCTTTTCAAACAATGCCCACCTGCATATAAGCCTTTTCAAGAAGCCTCGGAAAAGCTCTTGGCGCATCTTGGCGCCTTGTATCGCATGGCAAAACGGATTGCCAAGTTGCCCTTTTGTGCCGGAATGTAAACTTGACCTTGCACAGATGATCCAAGCCAGATAGGTGAGACTGCAGTGTGTTGAGCGCCATCGTGTCGCGCTTTCTAAGATTGTGTTGCCAGAACTGGAATGTACAGTTGCTGGGTTTGTCGTTTGGGGCGATGCACTTGGTCGTTGGAAGGCAAGTACACGATGGATGGGTATTACAGATCTTATGAACCAGTACTGTCAGAACTCTGAAGTGATCATTTGTTTAACGCCACTTGAATGGGGCATTTTTGATATTGTGGCCCCCCTTTAGACGCCTTGAGAGGATTG